CTGGGGAACTCTGGGAGTTGAAGTCCAGACATCTTCAAGTTGACAAGGTTGAGAAACACTGTCCTAACCACTGCTGGGGAATTCTGGGAGTTGAAGTCCAGACATCTTCAAGTTGACAAGGTTGAGAAACACTGTCCTAACCACTGCTGGGGAATTCTGGGAGTTGAAGTCCAGACATCTTCAAGTTGACAAGGTTGAGAAACACTGTCCTAACCACTGCTGGGGAATTCTGGGAGTTGAAGTCCAGACATCTTCAAGTTGACAAGGTTGAGAAACACTGTCCTAACCACTGCTGGGGAATTCTGGGAGTTGAAGTCCAGACATCTTCAAGTTGCCAAGGTTGAGAAACACTGGACTAGAAGACCTCCCAGGCCCCTTCCACTCCCATGATTCCATGCTCTTTTTCCCTTCTGTCTCTTCCAGAGCCTTCATCGACGCAGCCTGTTCGGTCCCCGAACCGGAAGAGAGATTTAAGATGGACAGATATTCGGAGCTGGTGGCCATCACCAAACCAGTGGTCTACATAACAGTTGGGGAGCTGGTCAACACCCACAAGGTGCAGGGTCAAACGTCGGAAAAAACATGATTTAAGGAGGGGAGAAATAATTGCTTTTGCACATAGGCCAATCTCTGGCTTCCTTGACTGTGATTTTGCAAGCCAGGCTTTGTGGCTCGACGGGTGGGAGTCCCAACCATCTGTGGCTTTTTTTAAAAAAATAAGCCCCTAGTGTTTATAGCCCTGAACCCACGTTTCTCCCCCCCCCCCCAAGTTTCCCCCTTGGTCGTATCTTTTCCCCACGAAGCCCTTCGGTTGACAGCAGGGCATCCAACCTTGGCCCCTTTAAGACTTGTGGACCAACTGAGGGCTGGGGGATTCTGGGAGTTGAAGTCTGCAGGCCTTAAAGTGGCCGAGGTTGGAGCCCCCCCCGGCTCAGAGGAAGCGTCTGTGGCTTTCGTGCTACTCAGCTTCTTCATCTTCGTTGCCTTGTTTCTGTTTATCCCTTCATTGGTTCCTAATGTTGAGACTGCATTTCGATTCTCCCAACGATCTTCCTTTCACAAAGAGTTTGGGAAACTCTCTGAGTTGGGTCTCTTTGGGGGGGCCAGTGGGGTATAAATAAGGCCTGGGGGGGGAACGTCCTCCTCTCTGCCTCTCCCTCTTTGCCAACCACACAGTTGCTGCTGGAGCACCAGCCCTCCCTGGCTCCCGACCCCCAGGACCCCCTGCACGGACTTCTGCAAGACCTTGGAGAGGTGCCAACCGTGGCCTCGTTGCTAGGTAAGCCGAGGGGGCTCTTCAGACGGACAGCCTCCCCTCCCAATACAATTCTGGCCCGGGGCGGGGCACTATTCCTGCCCAGGAGAGGAGGGCCCTGAGGGCACCTCCTCCAATTGGCAGCCTTTATAAGGGGCTGCAGCTCACCAGGACAGAATCAAGGTTGCCGGGGGGAAGAAGCTGCTGGGAGACTCTGCCAGAGACCAGCGCGTCTCTCCTTCCACAATGTCTGTTTCGGCATTTCTTTCCACCGGTTTCTGTAGCCACCCAGTTCAGCCAAGCGACTCTGGGTGGCTTATAATGCTAAAATTACAAAACAATTACAAAACATTAAAACCGTAAATACATCCACAAAAATGAATGCGTGCAAATGGCAGCCGTGACGTTTAATCAAATAATAGCGAAGCCAAAACAACGAGGCCCTTCACATTTATGACCCTAAACCAGGTTTTTCAAGAGGGAGGGCAGGGGGGGGGGGGCTCCTGTGTGCAGCCCAGCTCCCAGGTTTTGGGGCCGTAGCCATCTGGCGCAAAAGCAGGGCTGGGGCAGTTCAGGGACGCGCGGTTCCTCCGCGGCTGAGCCATTCTGGGTAAGGGTCCTTGTGGGACACAGTCTTGAGGGCGTCCTTGTGGATGATCTCTGGCCGGCCCCCATTTGAGGCCACAGAGCATTGCTTCACCCCACGGGTCGCCCCGTTCGCCGGTTTTCCTCATCCGGTGCCCAAGCAAACTGCTTGAAAGCGGCATCGGCTCTGCCAGCCTTGTGCTGATGCCAGAACCAGCGTCCGGTTGGCTCTGCTGCTGCCGACATGTTGGCTTGTTTGTCTGACTTGATGGTTCTCAATATTTCAGCAAGGAAACCACGTTCCCTCCACCACTGACAGGACCAACCGTTGGATACAAAAAGAGCGCAAACCTTACCCACTTCTAGCACTGATGATATTATCTAGTTGGGTCGTGAAATGTCCAGAAGAAAACTGACCTCAGCCAGCAATAAGGACTCCACAGCCGCTTCCCTCCTCTTCCTCCTCCTTTCCACAAACCCTGCCCCCCTCTAGCACTGCTGTGGTTACCTAGTTAGGTACCAAAAGGTCTTCAAGAGAACAAGCCCAGAGAGCCCCCCAAGGCCTTCGCGGTTCCCTCCTGAGCTGCAGAGACCCTCTTGGCTGCCCCTCATCCCTGCCCTTCGGTTGTGGCTGTGCCTGGGACCCCCCAATCCACGCCAGCCTCTGCCCCCAAAGACCCCTGGGCTTCTGCCCGGCTTCCTTCCTCTGAGCCTCTTGCGTTGCTGTCTTTCTGCAGGCCACAGCCTGGCACAGGGGGCGACCGGGGCCTGGGAGGAGGCTTCATCTCAGCTCTCCAGGACGGAGGTCTCGCTCACGCTCAGCGGCAAGTACGGCGGGGTGGAAGCCGAAGCCGAGGGGGAAGCAGCTGCCGGAGGCCTGTGGCTGAGGTGGGTGGCTGCGTCGTCCCTTGCGAGGGAAGGTGGTCGGGCCTGCATCCCCCCCCCCCTCCCCTCAAGCCTGGTGAACAGCAAGTGGGGGACGGCCAGGAGCACAAAGGGCCTCTCAGACACGCTCAGCGATGGGGGAAGCCAGCGGGAAGGGCAGAATTTTAGGCAGCCCTCAATTGGGACTGGAATTACTGGCACTGAGTGATGT